GGTCCCGGGCTTTCGCCAGCACCGCCCCTGCGGGAGGCCTCGTGCTTGGCTGCGTTGACGGCTGTGGTGCCGGGCCAAGTTTTGGCCGTGTCAGAGGCGAAATACAGCTTTTTTGCTCTCTGCCTTTTTGTTGGGAACTTGAAGCGCTGTTGCGTTGCCTGGCCGAAGCAGCAGGGAAACGGGGAAGGTGACCGGTACCTGGAGCGGCGGCCTTGCACGCGGGAGGTGGCCGGAGGTGGGTTTGCCCGGCTGGGGTGAGAAGGCGCAACCCTAGAGCTTGTTCCCTGCAGACCGGTCACCGCAGCACGTAATCCAGCGTCCTCAGAGGGCTGCCAGCCGCGTAGCCCAAAAAATAAACAGTACATCGTGGTCGCTTTAAACCGTATGCGGGTCCTTGAATTTCACCTCTTTGTCACGCTGGTCATTAACATTGGCAAGAGCCTTGCTTCCTTATCGCTGTTAATTTTAACCTAAATATTTTGGTGTGTTGTATTGTATCTTCTCTTTTGCTGACGTTTATAGACATTTTTCCCTAGCAGGATGAGGAGGGTTTTTGGTTGTGGCTTTTGAACGGTGCTTCATGTTCTATGGAAGAAATAACATTTTATTTAAATGTATTTGCTGTTAAATTCTTTTTTTTTTTTTTTTTTTTTTGTGGAGGGGGGTCAGGTGGCCTTAACTGGTTTAAATGGGGGAAAAAAATGCCATTTGCACACAACTTAGTATCAAATATGGCAGAAGAGCATTGGCATAGATGCCATTGGGAACGCTGTCAGCATAACATGCTCGTTAGAGCAAATATAACCGAGGCCAAGGTTTAAGTTACGCTACGTGCACGGTTTTGCCTTTCAGTTGTATGTGGTCTAAAGACGAATCCTGAAATAAAGCTAAAAGCTGCTGGTTTCCATGCCCAGAGATATGATTGTCGTTGACTTGTCACGTAGCACGTAATGGCCACAGTATTTCTCTTTTATCTCAAGCTTAGATGATACTGTACAGGATGCTGTTGTATTCCTCTGTGGGAGCTGCGCATCGCTGGTTCTAAGAGCTGAGGAGCTTCTCTCACATACAGCAGGTTTTTTGAAACAAAAATTCGTGCTCAAATTCATGAAGTACTGTTGATTTCTGCTTAATTCGTTGCCTTGATATGTCGGGGCAGTCTTCCTCAAAACGAATCAAACGTGCTGGACTTAAATTAATAGGGTCAGCCCAAGAAAAATTAATAGGGTCAGCCCAAGAAATAGGCGACATAGACAGTTGCTAAGGGCACTGAAACTGAATAAGTAAGTATTTTTAAAGATGTTTTGCTACCAAAAGTTCTCAGATAAGAGGCGGGGTCAGATATATATACCATGACACGGGCTCTTCCATGAAAAGCTGATGCACGAGAAGTGATTACTACAAAGTTTGCATCAGGAAGGGGAGAGGATCAGCCCTAAGTATTGATGCTGTGTGTGATGAACGTGTACGAAGAGTTCTATGGTCTCGTCTTCAGCTTCAATTACATTCTTCATTTAAAAACTGGAATTGCTTAGGAATATATTTGCCCTAGTATATATTAGGCAGCATAAATTACAGTTTTCATATGTAGCCTTAAAAAAACTCATGTTAACACAGAATTAAATAAATTTAGGCTTGGGCACGAGAACTTTTGGCTCTCGCGGTATGATGAAGAGCCTGTGCTTTCCTGTGGAATTCATTTCTCATTCAATGAGTTGAAACCTGCATACGTAGAAACTCGTAAATGCAAAATATAGTTAGTACGGTTTTCTGATAGTTTTAGGGCAAGTTTTAAAAAGTTAAAAACCAAAATCTGAATTACACCTGCTTTCAGGTTTTGGGGACAGTACTTCTTCAGTGTGCTCCTAACTGTACCAGCCCTCCAGCTACATCTCTGCTTGCTCCGTTTCCTTTTCTGATGGGAGCTTTTTTTCTATTCTCTCATGCTTCTCCGTTTTCTGGACTTTGTGCACAAATCAATTAATATTAAAAGTCAGCTCTTCCTTGGGGCTCCTCTGCAAGTTCTTTAAGAAAAGAATGAACAGGCCTAAATTATTTTGTGCATTCATAAATTGAGCACTTTGGGGTATTTCTTCTGAATATGAAAACGGGGAATTTAAAAATCTCAGTTTCAAGGCTTAGATTATAACAACGTTTTTTGTCCTCAAATATATGATTTGCGTTCCTCGCTCAGTTGTGAGAAGTTATTTCTTGACTCTCTGTCTTTCAACAAAGAACATAAATTACGCTTCTGAAGACCCCTTTTGCTTCAACGAAAGAAAATGAAAGGCGCTAGTGAATAATGGAATAAGTGCACCCGGGTGACGTTTATCCTAAACATCCATTGTCATTTTTCTAATGTGACTACGTGCTTTTCTTAACATTGTTATGTATTTGTTTATTATTCATATTCTTGAAAAAAACATTTTTGAGAATAGCTGTGACGTACCAAAAGGCATTTCACACTTAAGAGATGAATGATAGCCACCCGTTTAAAATGAGGGAAAAAATTACAGATTTGAACATCAGTCAAAGAAAGCAAAATATCACAGAATTCCGATGCAGAGCTTTGTTCAGGTAGACTAATAGAATTTAGCCACACCTGTTAAATTTTTACAGCGTGACGGTAAATGTAAAATATACCTGCCAGACAAACTGCAACCTCCGTGCGTGTGCAGATTTCAAATTCTGCTTTTCCCCTAGATTGTTGGCGTTTCCTGGGGCTTCTGCATGCTAACTCGGCTCTTTCATGAGATGTCTTGTAATTTGTTTTCCAGTATGTCATCAAAAAGTTAAACCTCAAAAATGCCTCCAGCCGGGAGAGGAAAGCAGCAGAACAAGAGGCACAGTTGTTATCGCAGTTGAAACACCCGAATATCGTCACCTATAGAGAGTCCTGGCAGGGGGAAGACGGCCTGTTGTATATTGTCATGGGCTTCTGCGAAGGAGGAGATCTGTACCATAAACTTAAAGAGCAGAAGGGCAAACTTCTGCCTGAGAATCAGGTGGTGGAATGGTTTGTCCAGATTGCCATGGCCTTGCAGGTAAAATGGAAGTACAGCTTTGTCACTTTAAGATAATAGACCTAATTTGGCTCTCTTTCCACATAACAATGCCACAGTTAGTCTGCAGATTTAAATTCCCGTTTGGTTGGGCTAGCGTCTGAACGCAATGTTTATTAGTACTTGAAATATGTTCACTGGTCATTGCAGTCAGACTTTCTCTTGTAGGTAATAAACTTCTATCATGTATTATGTCTAAATCTCTTATCACGGGAGACAGTGTTAACCTTCGGGGGGTTTGCAACTCTAGTCTGAAATGCTTCTCGGGTGTGAAATTTAGGATTACGTTTACAAAATGTATTTTTTTTTTTTTAAGAAAGTTTATTTTGGAAGCAACTTGTTGTTTTGTTGGTGTTTGTCAACGATGAATTTAGACTACTAGTTCATCATTTCTATTAAATCTTATCTCAGTCTGTTGGAATTTATAATTTGGAGGCTAACAAACTTTAAAAGCAATTATTATAATAATAAAGACCAGATGTAAATATTAACACTAGGAAATAAGGAAGCTGGACAGAAAATGCTATCTTAATGCTGCCTGTTGTGGTCAGATACGCAAAAGTCTACAGTGATGTCTTGTTCTTGCTTATTGTAAGTCTAATCTTCTACCCTGTCTTCAGACAAAATTGACACTCTGTTTTCCACCAAAATTTTATGCTAACGACTGTGAAATAAATGGCAACAAACGGAGGCCAGCAGAAAGCAGGTTAAAGGCTGAGCCTTAACTTTACATTCCTCTTTTCTGCTGGTTTGCTGGAGATCAAGATCTCCCCCAGGGAGATTTCACTCAAGCTGTCTTCCGTAGTGATGTATGTGGCTTTGTTGTGTTTGTATTTTCCCTCTTTGACTTGTGTAACGTAGTTTTACTTTTCAGTGGAGAAGAACCAATTAGGAGTACTTAACTCTATTTCTACGTATCTACGTTTTTATTTTTCAGTATTTACACGAGAAGCGCATTCTGCACAGAGATCTTAAGACTCAAAACGTTTTTCTGACGCGAACAAATATAGTCAAAGTGGGTGACCTCGGAATAGCCAGAGTGTTGGAAAACCAGTACGACATGGCCAGCACTCTCATAGGCACGCCGTACTACATGAGCCCCGAACTCTTTTCCAACAAACCCTACAACTACAAGGTAGAGACTGTTGATGCAAATGCTCTTTCTACTTTGTTAGGCAACTTGATTTTTACGTTTGTTCGAAGAGCGTTTCGATCCTGTGTATTTTTTTTAGAAGTTGCTATTGCTTCCGACGTTATTGCTTCTTTTTAACGTCCTTAGAGCCCAAGCAAAAAGACAGAGAAAGATCTGTGGGGAACTGAATTTCTGGAACTGAGTTTGCTGCAGTGGGTGAGGATTAGTAGCGTACGATAAGTTATCACAGCCAAGGCGTTCAGCAAACTGCCACAGCTGCCAATGCAAACAAAAATACCAGTCTTTGTTAGTCACCTACAGTACGTATTTTTATTTTACAACAGGAAGGAAGCTTTATGTTCAAAAGTCCCTGCTATGCATAAAACCAGCAACATTAAAAAAAAAAATGCTCAGAAGAGAAATGAGCAGTGTCCCTGTGAATTTAAAATAAGGACACCTGCTTTCGTATACTTGTTCAGCTCTTGCTGCAGACCACGTGCACCCTAAACTTGGGTGTCTACAATGAGCATGAGCCAAGGGGGAACTGTTCTCGTGAAAAACAGGAAGATTTTCATTCTCCAGTTAGAGCCTATGCAGTACTTCAACCAACCAACCAACCAACCAACCAAACACCACCCTGCAAGTTTCTTTTCAGAATACACCTAGTGATATTTGGAAGACAATAGTTTAATTCATCAAAGTTAACAAAGAAAATAGACTGAAGTCAGAGAGGTTTACAATGGAATTTGGTCTTAAGTTAGCTTACTGTCATTAATGGCTTCTCTGAAAGCCGGAGACTCTTGTCTGGAGGTAAAACTTAGGTGATTAATATAAAGCTCCTAAAACTTTTTTCCTCTTTTTTCCAGTCTGATGTTTGGGCATTGGGCTGCTGCGTTTATGAAATGGCTACGCTGAAACATGCCTTTAATGCTAAAGACATGAACTCTTTGGTCTATCGAATTATTGAAGGAAAGGTAAAAACTTACCAAAAAACATTTTTGTCTGGTTATAATGGCTTTTGGGTTTTCTTTTTTTTTTTTTTTTAAACATGCATCATCATATATGTTTTAGGATTGATATTTCATGGTGGTACGTGATGTAATACTAGACCTAGGAAGTTGTTCATTTTTGAATAATGCTAGAGTTTCTTGTTGTCCTTCTGTGTAACTTGTATATTGGTGAATTTTCAGAGTGCTGAAATGACTTGCTTTCTCCATCTACCCCTGGTTTAAATATTGTGCAAAGAATTATATCCCTGTTCGTGTGTATGTCACTTTCCTGTTAGGTACGGCCAGCCTATTGAAGTGTATTACTTGCTTTGAAATAGAATGAAGTGAACATGAATCTAGATATAATCTTTGATGTCTTTTATGCCTGTTCACGGAACATTAACTGCTGATATTAAGAAAAAATTAAGAAAACTTCTTACACAAAATGTTTGGAATTGCTATATGCTGTTGGATGGGTAGTTAAGCACCCTAGGTAACTTTCAGCATATGAAAAAAGGGATGGTTTTTAGTGGGAAGTACCTAGCAGAACATAACTGTTGTGCATAAGTAATCTAGCAGTAGCCCCTGTTGACAAATACGTTAAACAATATCACGCTTCGCTTTCCTTTTGCAGCTGCCCCCCATGCCAAAGGATTACAGCCCACAGTTGGTAGAGATAATACGAACCATGCTCAGTAAAAAGCCTGAGGAAAGACCCAGTGTGAAAAGCATACTAAGACAGCCGTATATCAAGCAACAAATCTCTCTGTTTCTGGAAGCCACGAAGGCGTAAGATATTTTCATTTCGGTGGTTCTATACAAAATATTTTTGTTGTTATGATTGTTGTGTGAAAACTGTTCCCTTTTTTTTATAGCAGGATAGAATGAGTTCTGTTACGTGCAATTGCAAAGCGTATGAACGTTTGAGTTTGTTTAGACTCTGAGAAATGTAATGGGAGACGTTTATAAGAGAATGGAAACTAGTTGTTTTGGTAAATGCAAACTAGGAGTGTGCAACAGCTTGGATTGCACAGCTTATTCGGAGAGAAGAAGAAAGGTACATCAGTACTTTCAGAGAAGTGATAGGAAATGCACGTCCTTGTTTATGGTTCTTTGATACCGTTTGTCACTTGACAATTCTAAAACCAAGTTCCTTTTGCTATTCACTCTTCTTTAACTTTTGGATGATAAATAATAGGTATTTTTTATTTGTCAGACATGGTCAATTATTCTACCGCTTCCAGATAACACTGACCTTGCTGCTGTGCAGAGCAGGTGTGTGTTGCTGCTTAGAGCCTGAATAGTGCTTTTAAGCTCCTTTTACAGAGTTGAAAATGAGTATGTTGTGCACAGTCTGTTGGAAAAAGCCCAGTGTCTTACATGCGCTATGTAAACTGTTTCGTGGACTAGGCTTTTGTAATTGGTAGAATCTAAAAGAAACATCTCAAGGTCTTGTAGCTGGAGACTAAATAACCAACTTTTACTCTGTCCTTTATAGGAAAACGGCCAAAAGTCATAAGAAAACACTGGATTCTAAACTTAAAGATCCTTGTTCTGTGGTCTCAGCGAAGCATGAATCTCATAACAAGAATGTTGCACACCAAAATCAGTCCTTTGAGCAAGCCAAGAAAAATAAGGTGGTAAGATAAATATATTTTTTCCAAACCGTGCGTCTGTTTTCCTTAAAAAAAGTGGGTGTGCTACATATATATAAACCCATGCCTGGAATATGCCATCTGCAAATGCAGTCTGTATCTCTTATGAAAATCTCTCATTAGAAGTGTGGGTTGCAGAGTGTTTCTTAAGCTCTTAAACTGTAATGAAGTTATGATCACCTACAGCTTATGTAGTCTGCTATATTAATGATGTTTCTTAGGTACTTAGAACATTCTTCTGTGTGTGCTTTATACCTGAAAGGTAATTCACTTTTTTAAATTCCAGAATGAAGAAGAACGCATCATCAAATATAAAGCCACCAAATTTTGTCCCTCAGAGAAACCAGCTGTTGAGTTGGGAAGAAAACCAAGCAGTAATGATTTGAACAGTCTGGGAGATTCCTTAGCTACAATTAGTAAAGTGGATATTGATATTTTGCCATCTGAAAAGAGGACATACGGAAGTGAGAAGTGTGGCGATGAGCATATTCCAGAGGATAATAAAGCAAAGTACTTAAATGGTCCAGGGGATTCTAAAACAACATACAGTAGATCACCGATTAAGGAGGATGAACTACAGCAAAAAACAAAGCAAGCTTTTAAAGCTGAAAGTGTTGAGTCTAAGCAGTCTGCTGTTGATGCTATAAATAAAGATGACGACACTTTGAAACTCCTGCAGCCTGTACCAAAAGACCAAAAGCAAACTGACCCGGTAATGCGCTTCTGCTTACGTAAACTTTGAAACACACTTAAGTAATGGCCACCTCTTAGAACATACAGAGCCGCTGCACGTAATGGTTATCTATCCAAGTAGGATACTGCTGATGTAATTATTGAGATGCTTAAGTAGTTATGAGCCTAGGCTTCAAATTTGCAGACACGATGTGCTGCAGGAATTTTAGGGCTCACGTCTAGATGATGAGAATGCTTTTCTTGTAGGAAACAAAAGTTTTCTTGATTCATCTGAGAAGAGAGAGGGCAAGAGCAGTTTTGAGACTTTTGTTATGTGTCCTAAATAGGCCTTGCTAATCTCTTGAGTTAGTCCTAGTATGGAATAGGAGTAGGAATTGGAGTAGACAGCTGGGCAAATGGGGCTCCGACAGGCTTCTGTCCTGCATTCATGAGCATTTAGGACAGTGACTAAATGATTTGGATAGATAAATGATGGACTTGTGGCTTTTGTCAATTACGTAGAACCTAGTGTTGTTAATTAAAAGCGAATTTAACATATCGGTCTCTGTGTGACTACGTTAGATGGAATCCTGGTAGGAGGTGCCAAGTTTGCCAGGGAACAGAGGATCGATTAAGCAGCTTTGGGGGCTGCTTCCTGATGTATTTAATGCACGCTCTCTCTCACCTTCTCACTTCTTTGTAATCAGAAACTTAATGAAAATTTGAAGGCGCTAAAAAAAACAGTGAAAGGGGAGGAGCGGAAGAGATTGAAGGCAGGCAGGAGATGGAGAGAGGCATAACGGAAAGGAGAAAGGAATAGAATTATGGTTTTACTTCCTCTCTTGCTTTACCTTTTCTCAAAGGTAGTTTGCTTCCTGTTGTTCTTTTAATTTCCAGGTATTCTTTCACTCTTTGTGTTGGTAATTTGAAAAAACCCAGTGTTTCTAAACAAATACCGCTTTCTCCCTAGGCTTCTGTTGTGCTCTCCTTTAGATTGTAACTGGCTCAGAAATACCGGCTAATTCTCTTTTTTCCCCTGCGCCCTTGTTCTCGAGTGTTACAAGAGCCTGCTGAGAGAACTGGGGAAAGATTTTATTCTTACCTCCTCTTAGTGTATCTCAAAAGTGTCATTATACCTTTGGCTCTTCCTCTTGTGCTTTGGATTTAAAGGTCTTACATCTGTTCTGGCTGCACAGCGTCGCTTCTGCACAGTCACATTTATGAAGCCAGTCTGCTTTTAGGTGGTGATTCTCTTCTCGTTAGGTTCTGGCGTACAATGAGATTTTCTTACGCACCTTAATATTTGGTTGCTTTCTGATGAGAAGTCATTATCTGTTCCAGAGCTTGGATTCTACTGAAAAGCTGCTAGAACCATTTGTTCCTGTTGTAATTCAAGTAAGTGTTTTTATTTAAAGGTTTGGTAGCTTAGAAATGCTGGTAGAGCAGATCTTTCTTCTAACTGTCAAGTAAGAGTTTGTTTTGATTGTAATTGCGTTAAGATAGATGTAGTCCGAATGTGAAGTGGCTTATGTTGACATTGTAAGAAGCGTGCATGTTTAAATCTGGAAATGGCATGTCTACATTTTGAAAAATGCTTGTACTTGTTAGGAAGGTGTCTGTCATGGAACTTCAGGAGACCCTCAGGAAAGTACTGCCTCTCACTTACACCCTCATAGTTCTGTCCACGAACCCTCTCTCTCACGGCAGCGACGGCAGAAGAAAAGGGAGCTGTCCGAAGTCTGTTCAGAGAAGGTGCAGGTAATCAAAAATGGATTTGACTGTATGATTCTTTCAATGACGTAATACCCTTCTGATTTTCTCCTCTCTCCTTTAAAACGGTGGGTTTTTTTTTTTTTCTTTTAAAAAAGGGGACGTATTTTAAAAAAATTGTTTTATACTGTTCTCATTTCATGTGCATCTATATAACTTCATTGATAAGAATATGCAGAACACTGAAACTGTCCTTTACGGGCAGCCTGTGTAAATCTTTGGAAGCGTCAACAAAGCTCACAGGTCTGAGGTGGGTGTGCTAGATGGGCATAATGAAACACAGTGAAATATTGTCTTTGCCTTTGCCATGCTATGATCGTTCCCAGGGATTTCCATCAGCAATTCTCACTCTGTTTGTCCTTTTACAAAACATACAGCCCTTTCACTGGCTGTGCAGATAAGGCCACTTGTAGCGAGCAGTAGATGACTGGTACTTTAGAAAAGACCCATATAATGGCTGCCCCGAGCTTATGAACAAACTCGAGGAAGAAAATCTTGTCCCTTTCACATGCCCGTAAGCCAGGGCTGCTGACACCGCTGAGTAGAGGGACCTCCTTGCGAAAAGCATCAGCTGTATAAGCAGAGAGAAGAGTGCGATTTGTTTGCAGTGTGATATCCTGCCGTTCTCTTGGGTTTTGCTGTTTGAGGATGGGGGCTGGTTGTTGAAAAGTCACTGGCTGAAAAATAGTCTGGGAGGAGGAAGGATGGGGAGCAGGGAATTGTATGCAAGCAGAAGCGCAGGGAGGGAGGGAGGGATGAAGCGGGGAGATGTGAAGAGGCAACAGTAGGATCCAAAAACTCTGCTGTCTAGTTTTGCTATGCAAGAATAAAGAGTTGCAGATTGTGGAGTACTTTAACTTTTAATAAAAGAAAGTATAAATTCTGCTCTCTTCTCTTTCAAGTTTGGAGCAGTTGCTCCTCAGCCTTTACCTTTTCCTTCCAATGTGATCGTAAAGACAACACAGGGCTGCGCAGAGCATGGTGCCAAAGTCTCTGAATCTGTAAATAGCACCAAGAACAGTCAAGTTGCCATTGCAAAGGTCAGTACTGAATGCTGTGTAAGCATATTGTGGTCTCTTGTTGCTTCTGAGCAGTTTGTTCCCTAAGAATATGCACAGCGAGTAAAGAAAGGTAGAGCAGCTTTCAACCTAATGGAAGTCCTGTCCTGCATCTGATCAATGCAGGATGAGAAGCTTGCTAGCTTGCTGAGACAGGGAGGTCAGAATCTCCTTTTCTGCGGTGTTTATCGGTTGTGCTGTTGACCAAGACCATCTTGCAGTAAATCACAGAGTGGTTGTTAGCTAATCGGAAGCTTAACTCTAGGAGCTCTCTTGCATGTTCAATGTAAGTTTTTTTGTTTATAGGTGATAGATAACAAAAGTGATTGTGACAATTGCCAATTAACGTCCACTTAACTTATTTTAAAGGAGCGGCCTTTGTCAGCGAGAGAGCGTAGGAGGCTAAAACAGTCTCAGGAAGAGATGCTTCCCTCTGGTAATTTTTATGTTTGCATGTTGACGTTCTGTATGTGAAGGCTGGCAACTTCTCTATGAAGAAATTCTAACTCACTGTTTGTTCTTTATTCTTCACTAACTAACTTCTTCAGAAAGATGCACTAAGGGTCTAGTTCTGATGTTAAATAAACATTTCTGTTAACATGTATGTCAGTATTTTTCTTCTTATTCAGTTGTATTTAGTGGTGACAACTTGTATTTGAAATGTATATGTTGTACACCTTTCAGATAGAAGCGTCACTGTTTTCTGTTAGCAGAATACCTGCTGGCTGTCTTCTGCCAGGTGATAGACTTTTTCTTGCATGAGCATGAAACTAATTCAAAATACATGCAGCTAAGTTATAAATATTCTAAAAATGTCATCCTTTCAGTGATTCCAGCAAGACGAACGTCAAATAGTGCAGTAGTTGAAGCAAAATCACGTGTGGAAAACCATGTTAAAGTTGCTCAGTCCTCATCAGATCCCAGTATTTCTCAGGTAAACTGGGGTCATCTGCTTTTGAACTATTTATTATTATTTAAATGCAGGCACAATTTGAGAAGAAAATGGTATTAAAAAATCTGCATGTGGAAGAACTTCCCAGTCAATAAGAACGCATAGTTCTCTGCAGATACTGCTTTAGAAACCTGGGCTGGAGTACGGATCTGTAATCTACCTTTCTGTTTGGCCAGATCAGTTTAAAAGTCAGGGCTCACTGTCCGTTTTCACACTGCTTGTCAGAGATGAAGATTCACAGGGATCTCGCAGAGGGAGCTAGTTTAGTTATGGACTCCCTAAATTGAAGGGTTTATTTGGTTGGTTGTGGGGAAAAAGTTTATCCTGAACTATGTTTTGGTTATAGGTGAATAGTCTGTTTGAAGTTACTGCTATCTACACGCTACCTTTAGCTTGGTACATCTAATTTTGCTTTGGTAGCGGTGTTTGAACGTTATTTTTTAAGCTGCAGTCCTGTTATGTGCTGACAATAAGGAAAAGGTGCTGGATGAAAAATTAATAGTTTCTGTTCGTATTATCTTCCTTGTCTAATTTAGAAAGTCCTTTTTAAGATCACGAACATCGGGGCAAAACGTGCTGCAACATTGGGCAACGTTATTAGTAAGAATAGAAAAAATAGCAGCAAAGACATTGTAGTGTAAAATTTCAAAGCATAGGCTCCATTTTCCTCAGCCCAGCGCTTGCATGGAAAGTGGTTTGCATGTTTTACCTACATGTGTATGCTTGTAAGTGATAAAACCTAAACGCAGAAACCTCATCTGCATTCATAAACTGAGGTTGCAGCAATTTAGTACGCACAACTTATTTACATGTGCATGTGTGATGTTTTTGCATATTGTGCTATGCGCGGAACACAGAACTGTAGGGGCACAGGTGACGGCTTGGTTAACGTCTCTCTGTATGTTTTAGGGAATGCTGGGAAGTTACTGAACCGATAAAATATTATTTTAAATGCAGTTTTAAAGTGTGTGTGTGTGTGTGTGTGTTTGAAGGCTGATAGGTGGGCTAAGGATAATGGTTATATTTGTCAATTCTTAGCTAATTATATTATGAAGCCGATTCAATTGTTTTTAGTAGAGGCATTTGGTAAAGCGTTTTTTGTGGTTGAAACTGCATGACTGAGATGTTATGCTAGCTAAATAAGCATGTCATAAAAGTATGTTCATGATGCGGTGGGTAGTGTAGCTTGCGTTTGAAACCAGAAGTTATACCTTTAAAGTATTATCAAGCTAAGTCTGTAAAGTGTGCTTGACGAAAGGTATTTTTCCATGTAAGAAAAGTAATTTATGCCATATAGGTAACAGACAAAAATCCTAACTCTCAAAAGTAATTTATTCCCTCTTCACTTAGAAAAAAAGAGTAACCCATTGCCTGTCTGACGATGAGTTAAGCTCTTCCACAAGCTCTACAGATAAGTCTGATGGAGATTCCAAGGAGAAGTAAGTATTTTGTTTAATACCATGCAGGAGTTTTTATCTGCTGTATCGGACCCTGACGTGGAGTGGAAAAATATTTGCAGAAATAGTTTCACCCTTGATCTGTACATAGTGAGTGATGTTATGAAGAAGCACATGTTACATAAAGAAAACAAACTCCGTTTGTTCCTCTGTGAACTCTCCATGCTGAACTTCCTGGTACATTGATTGTGTGCCTCTGTTTTTTGGCAAGTGAAGCTTTCCAGGAAACCTCTTCCAGCATCAAAAGATATGTACTGTCAGGATGCATTAAACAGCATACGTTGCATAGGTGCCAAATGTTTCTTTCCTACGGCGAACGAGGCCGAAATATTTATTTTGGATTTTGTCAATGTGAACAACTTTTCAAAAAATATTCTCTGGTGCGTTACCACGGGCGCAGCTGCGCAAGTAGCGGTAGCTGATGTGGTTGGGAATTGTTGCTAGATGCATAGGCTCTGAATCTGTGTTAGATGAACTACTACTAATGTTACTATTGATAAAACTGCACAACAAAAGTAATTTAACACAGACTGCTTAGCAGGACCTCACCAAATTATTGGAAGTCCTCTGAATGCAAGATGGGAGTTGCATCATGAGTGATCACTGAATTGCATCTTTTTCTCCTCTACTAGAAAAAGCAGTATGAATGAAATGAATGATTTGGTGCAGCTAATGACTTGGACACTGAAAATGGACTCTAAGGAGAATTCTGATTCCTGTGTAACCTCACCTCCAGCCTCAGAGTTTAAACTTCATAGGAAATACAGAGACACTTTGATTTTGCATGGAAAATCATCTCATGAATCGGAGGAATTCAAATTTGAAGCGTTTCCTTCAGGTCTGTTGCTCTGATACTTCTTTTAAATGAATGGTTGTCAGCTGCTGCTTACCAAAGAAAACCTGCTAGTGGGCAACAGAAGGCAATCCACTCTTAATTCTTCCAGTTGTTGAATCTCAGCAGTGCTCCTAGAAGTAATTAGCTTTCTAAACAACTTTGTGTATAGAACTGCCCTAGTTGTGATTTGCTTGCCAGTGAAAGGAGTGTGATCGATGCAATTATTAATGAAGAGAGAAAGCTGGTCTGCAGTATGATCTTTCACCATGTGATTTGTACTTAGAAGCTCCAAATGAACCGTTCAAAGGAGATGAGTCTTTTAAAGTAAGATTTTTTTTCTTTAAGGCATCCAAATGATTTGATAGCTGCGAAATGTTGTGGATTGTGGTTAAAGCTGAAATTGAACGTGAGGCACAAGCCAGCATTTAAACACACTGGAGGGTTACGCGAGTATAGAAGTCTGTCCTCACTGCAGGTCTTGCAGAAGCTACTTTTTCCCACAGCGAGAATCTAATCACTTTTCAAAACCAGACTTTATATATGTGTTTATATTCCAAAAAGCAATACGAAATTACAGCTGCTATAACTGCACTTGCTGTGCAAACCAGAAGATGAGTGGAGAAGCTGAAAGTAAGCCTTTGAAGTCTTGGACCTTTTTTTGCTCATGTGTGTTAAGCGACAAGGATTCTGCTTGTAGCTTCTCTGGTGAGCAGCAAAACAATGAGAGAGCACTACTCTGATGTCGGTTCTGCATAGCTAGAAGTAAAATGTAGTGAGAGATTTTTGTGTCTCATGTGCACAGGTATGACAATGTTAAAAGTACAAACTTGAGTGGTGGGGTTTTCTTCTGGCAGTTTTTTTTCCTTGTAAGTATTCTTTATATAATGTATAAAGAGTATATGTATATAATCTTCCAGCTATTTACTGCCATTGGGGTTGATGGGACAGGACTACTGCATTTCTAAGCTGAAACTTAATTAGATCAGGCATTTTGTTTTCGCAAGGTAATCCAGCCTGTGAAAGGAGAAACTATTAACTGCTGGTGACTTCATTGATTAAAATAAAGAGCTAGCGTTCTCGGTTCAGTTCCTAGTGGAGGCCTCCCCTGGTAAAATGACCATCTTTGGCAGTGTCAGCTGAGCAGCAAAAGATTTAAAGGCTGTTGAGAGAAACAAGCAGATGGCAGAACTTACGCCATTCGTCTGTATACTGATTAAACTTTTTTATGTTTGCTCTAAGTGTGAATGATTGAACCATTCTTAAAATAGTTGTTCTTCTCCGATGAATATACAGAATTGTGCAAATGTGATTGGAATGAAAACTAATACAGCGTACAGGCACCAGCTGAAAACAGAGAGCCAAAGTGCAATTTGTATCTGCCCTGACTGTGTACTGTACAGTGTCTTAGGAGCTAGCATCTGCGTAGTTCTGGTTCAGCACGATTGTTGATTATTCTAGCTACTCAGTTCGGCTAGACATTGTTGTTCCAGAAGTCTTTCATGATACTTAAAATGTTGTCCCCGTAGTCTTCCAGGCATGGACTATGCAAGTTGCTTATACTGAACGTAATTATTACTGCATTGTTGTTATTTTTAATAGATATGCTGTCAGGTCCTGAAAAGATTAGGAGAATGGTTGAAATCCTAAGATCTGATGTGGTGCAAGGTTTGGGAGTGAAACTTCTTGAGAAAGTGTACCACGTCATGGAAGAAGAAGATGAAGTGAAGAGAGAGGTGAATGTCTTGCATATTAAAGTTGTTTAATTTCTTATAAACGGAGATAAATGAGCAGTTTTCACTTTTTTCCTTTTTAGATATTGATACAATGGTGCAAACCTGGACCCCCAAAAGCTTTACTGTTTATAGTCATTGGCAGGCCAAGGGCCTAAGTACGTTGTCAGTCTTAAAAAGTTGATTCTGAATATAAACTAGGTTCAACTATAAATTCTTCAGGAACCATAGGAATTTTAGAATTATATCCTAGTCCTTTAGTTTGTGAAGAAGCAAGAGATTTGAGTACTTCTGTGCTGTTGTGTTTCTCCAATAATCATTTCCCTTTGGACTGTAATCTTGTTTTTGTCTTGATGTTACTTATGTAGTTTCCCTTTTCTCCAAAGTGAAAAAAGGGTTTAATGTCCATTCTTAACATAAATGAGTGAGCAAAAACTCCAGCTCATCTGATTCAAAAAAAATGGTTACCAAAAAAATACTGCATGGCTAAGTATAACTGGTGAAGATTTAAATTATATTTACAATTACTAGGTGGAATTTGGAACATTGGTTGCCTTCCGACAGCAAAGATTGTCTTTTCCATTTATCTCCCCTCCCATCTGTGTGATCAAACTTCACATGATGCTTCCAGTTGATTCTTTTGTTAATATTTTGGTAGTTCCTTTTTTTTTTTTTTTTTAAATGAAAGTTTCTTTTTTTCTTGTATTCTAAATAGCTGCAGTTGCGGGAACACATGGGAGACAAGTATGCAAGCTACAGTGTGAAGGCACGCCACTTGAAATTTCTTGAAGAAAATGTGAAGTTCTGACCAGATTAAGACTTTTCCCTTGGGGAGAAGACCACAGTTTTAGAGCTCGTTCGATAGACTGGACCAGCTTACGAGGCATGTTTATCCTTTGAGCTCCTTTGCTGGGGTAAAGGGGATGAGCTTGAAAAAAATGTTACAGCATTAGTTGTAGTAATATTTTCTATGTTAAAATGTGAACCAGGCTATCACTCTCTCAGAAGAGGAACTGTATGTTTAGTTCTTATTCTCTTAATGAAACTTGAGAAGAGTTTGTTTCATAGATGCAAAGATGGATGGATACCAAGTTTTGTATAGAAAGTAGCATCCAAAAAATGATGTTTTGGTTTGAATTAGTCATAAACTGTTTTGGTATGGTGATATACTAAATACAGTAAGAGAAATCTACGCCACGGTTATAGCGTGCTAGGGACTAAGCCATTTTATCAACTATCTATGACGTTTTACTGGTTTTTGCCCACTAAAGGCCCCTGCAGAGTCTGTAAACTGCTAAGTTAAAATGCTAAAGGGGTTTGCTGTATTGCTTTCAAGCATAGTGAATTTGGCCCTAGCTTTTGTGTTTTATTGCTAAGGCCATCACCACGGTGGCAGAAAGCACTTAGTAACTGGATAAAACAAGCCTGAAAATGTTTGAAAGGAGCAGCCATGGTTACCATGGTCACGGCTGGAGAAAGTCCTTTCCCCTTACAAGTACTAATTCCTTTTAGGAACCAAAGCGTCCAAGACCAGGGCCATTTAGTCTAATAGGTTTGACTTAGCTTTTCCTTTGGCATGCACTTTGGTTAGATTGCGTTACTACACGTGCCCAGGTATTGTCATGTGACATCATTATGGAGAAAGCACGTGTGTTCTTTTTAAAGGATAATTAAGTCATTAAGGGAATCGATTTTGTAAAATAAATTTGTAAAACCTCAAGCTGTCTCTTACCCTGCCTTTACAAAAAGAGATTTAGCTTAAATATCATAACCTCCAGCCCCTACGGGAGGAGACTGAAGTGACAGGCCGTGGTCAAAAGGTGCAACAATTGCTGCCGTTTACATGCTAAATGCTCAAGTTACAAGGCTTCAAGAGCTACAGCTACTGTATCATGCAGAGTCAAGATGTTATTTTCTCTACACAGGCGAGTTTACTTTAAGCCAAAAAAAGGCCACCCTTTGCAATCTCCTATCCTAGAGCAGTTTCCAGTTCTTCACATTTTTCAAAACCATAGATTTGGGGGCAAAGGCGGAGGGCGGAAAGGTGAGGTATGTGCTGTTTTACAAGACCTGTGATAAACTGCCACTGTAAAGCAAGCTATTTTAATACAAGCCTAGCTGGATATAATGTTTTAGGCTACAGCAGTATCTTGACTGTACTTGATGTGAAGCTTTTCACTTCCCCCCCCACCCCTGTCTTCCCTGTGACTTCACTGAAACACCAGCCAAATTTATAGAGCTCTCTGCAGATTCCCTGTGTACTCAAGACAGTATATAAAGCAGTAAGGAAAAACAAAAAACAACAACAAAAACTACACCAAACTATCTCCCAGTCCAAAGGTATTAAAAATTTAATAAAGCTAAATGCTACGATGTAACATCATGAAAAACACGTTCTTTAGCTTTTAGTATGTCTCTTTGGCTTTCTGTCTGCTGGCTTCTTATCTTCTGTTCCCGAATCTTGGACAGGTAGCCACTTGAGAGGATTGCGGCGGTACATGGGCCATGGAGGGAGGGTTAGCTTAGAGAAAAGGAATGCAGTTGAAACACATAAATCAAGACCCTAGATAAAGTGTTTTGTACAGCTGCTACTCCACAGAAAGCTGCACTATCTTTCGTTATCAGCGCCATCAGTTTGACTTGAACTGAACATTTAACTGAAGTGGAAGAACAATTCAACGTTAGGTAGTAGTACTGAATTGCACTGTTATCTACAATCTCACTAGCATTTGAGAACAGGCAAGTATTGGCTTTAAAGAGTACGCCGTGCTGACTGAGGCAAGTACAGGACTATAGAAACAGTGTTTTCTACAGGTCACACCAAAACTTTTAAGTATGTAATTAACAGTCTGAATGACATGGTGGATGTTTGTCTGTGCTAGCTGCTCCTTAATTTAGCTACCATTTGAGGTTAAATAGTGCATAAATTTTCTGGGTTTAAAAAAAAAAAAAGAAAGAAAATCATCTTACCAGACACGATAAAGCAAAACCAGCCATAACTATATAGACAGTCCATCCAAACTGCTCAGTGATGTATCCGTAGATGAAACCAATTACCTTCCAAAAAAGAAAGAAAAAAGAACCTTAAACATACAAAATTTCCATGATGTGCTATGATTAAAACAGTTGGGATGGGAAGAAAGAAGGGGACAAAGAGTTAAGGAAAAAAATCTGGGTTTTTCAAAAGCCAGGTTTCACATGTCTTCCTAGCATTGTTTCCAGAATTGTAGGCCAACAATGAAATTAAAATACTGAAGGAAGCAAAGTCTTTATCCCATGACAGCCCCTCTGATTTTGTCCAAAGCTTTAAGTGACCCAAGGAAGCCAAACAAAAAGTCTTGATAAGATCAAACCCAGATTTGGTTTTTTGCGTCTTCATCCATAGTTTTAGCATACTTACTGCAGAGACGAGAATGATTCCTTGAAAAATCTGTTCTGCTAACTTTTGGCCCTTGTAGTCCTGTGGAAAGAGATCGGTTGGTCAAGAAGTTCATGTTTAAATGCCCAAATAATTTATTCATCCCTTTTGAACACACATAATCATCTAGTATCCACAGCGTCCCATAGCTGCATACCAATACTTTTGGGGGGTTTATCATCCTGTTAATGGATGACACATGATGGTTTCCACTTTCTTGGGAGGAGTCATTACACACTTGCTGTAAGGGACTCACTTTTTGCTACTTTACGTCTTTTAATTGCTATTCCTCCATTAGAGAAAGGCAAGTTCTGTGCGTTCCTGTGACTCGTCACGGGTTGTACCCGAGGCCTAGGAGAAGGCCAAGGCGGGCGCTCGCGCTCCCTGACGCGAGGGCCTGCCCAGCGTTCACGCCCCGCCGGGG